CTAAAATTAATAAATATTATCAATAAATAATTTAATTAAAATTAATTTATTTAATCAATAAATAACTTTAAAAACAACTTAATAAATAAGCTTAATAAACACTTTTATAATTATTATTTAAATTTCTTACAAAAATAATTTAAATATTTTTTTATATAAATAGTATTTAATATTATACACCTTTCTTTGTTATTATTACAGAGATTTTAACTTTAAAAAATACAAACTTCTATAAACATTAAAAAAACAGCAGGGTTTGGCTTTAATATACAAATTAGTCTGATTTTTTTTTTTTAATTTAACTTTGTCCATTTATGGAGAGACAATTTTTCATCAATATTAATAATATATTTTTAGCTTATTGGCTTTCTATATGTATCTTCATTAATATCTTTTTATAAAGCATTGCAAATGCTGTAATTTAGATTTAGCCTAGTGAACTCCCAAGATTTTGTACTACACCTGATGCATCCCAGTTGCCTTCCATTACATTCTTATTATTTTCATTAATGCCTGTAGATATTTTCTTTTTTCACCTATGTTTTAATAATCTAATTGATAAACACCTGTATAACTATTTGAATTCAATTTAAATTTATTACTGCATAACATGTTAAGTAAAGAGTTACCAAAACACAGACAACTTTTAAGTTACCATTTTACGAAACACAAAGTATAAAGCTTAGTTTTGGTATCCATAGCAATAATAGCATAGCAATGTAATAATTATGGTATCCATAGCAATAATGGCATAGCGATGTAATAAATTTTGACTATATCTGAAAACTGTTTATGAGTGTTTATTATCAGAAAAAACAAAAACAAAGAAGTTGTAGTTGACAATTCTAAAAAATGCAAAAAACAAAACAGATAGCAAAAATGATGAACTTTTCAAAATTAGAATCAATTATTTTGTATCAATGAGCAAATAATACCCGTTGAAACAAAACATAGTGGTATTTGCTATTAAAAACCTAAAAGATCTCACAAATGAGGTTTATGATTTTCAAATAGGGTTTATGACATTCACAAATGATTCATAATTTTTTTTTTTTTTTTTGCATTATTTTTTTCTTTAAAACCAGTGAAAGAGATGATATGACAACAGAGAGTGTTGTTTTAAGATATGAACAAATACCAAAAAAACTTCAAAATGTGTTTTGACAATTAGCACTGTACTCTTTCTTTTCTTCTAAAACTAAAAGAAAAATCATACTAATAACTGCAACTATTCATTTTAACCAAATAATTAAATGCTTCTTTTCGAGAAAAATCTAAAAAAATAAGATATAAAGTATATATCTCAGGCATTTTGCTTTTCTAATAGTTTTATAACAAATGCGTTCATATGATCTCAACACACTTTAATAATAATGTCAAATGATGGGGTCAAAAGTATAAGAAATATATTCAAGTACTTAATCCAGAGGTTGCAAAAGAATACAATTCTAAAAGAAATGGTATTAATTTGGCTGACATGCTTATTAGCTTATATTAAATACAATTTAGCAGTCTAATCGCTTCAATCCAAATCACTAGCAATTTACTAATAAAGAATAAACAGACTCAATTGGGTGACCAATAAAAAAATATTAATAGATTCTGATGAAACTGAAACACAAAATCGCAAAGTTCAGAAAGCAATACAACAAAATGATATTCAATATGATGAACACTGGCCGAATCCTGAAACAAATAAAAACAAACTGCGCAACAAAACTTAAAAATTCTTAAAATGCTTAAAGTTTATTTATGTTTCAGCAATCAAAGAGTTTTTAATAAACAAGCACCCATGTAATCTGTCATCATGTAATATGTCATTATAATAAACATCATAATCTATTATATTACATCATTATCTATATTATTAAATGGAAACTAAAGCGGTAGTGATTTAGTTGTAGAACACTCATCTAATAAGTAAGAAGTTCCAAGTTTGATCCCCACCATGCCCCTGGTAGTACCGTGATCAACTTGTTTCTCAGCACAGTGGCCTTGTTCATCAAGGTTCGTGTTTTATAGTTATTGAGTTGAGAGAGGGTTGTAAACACAATTTAAGTAACCTCTCTGACTGTAGTGGTCTCCATGGCCTTAGGGAGTTGAATTAATATTTAAAAAAAAGAACTGATTAATTGATGGTGTTACAAATAACTAGTGGATGCTATTAGACAAACAATATTTATGCATTTATGCAAAATCCCTTTTAAACACAATAAAATAAAATGGCCTAACAAATTTTAAAACAAACACAATTAAATACAATGGCCTAACAAACTCTAAAACAAACACAACTAAATACAATGGCCTGTTTGTCGAAGTTTTAAGATTTAAAGGGTTATAATTAGGGCATATCGGATCTGGCAAAATAATCAGGATCTGGTTCCGGATCCTACCCAGATATTCGGGATTTGGATCCGGATCAAAATCTGAATCCAACTTTATCATGAAAACAAAACAAAAAACTATTTTACACAAAGATTTTAAGAATTTTAAGAATTGTGTGAAATAAACCCTTTGCAAGCCTTCCCAGGAAAGGCGTGCGGTTTTTCGTCTTGAACAACCACTAAAATGTTTTTCAAGTTAGAGAACGTGATCACGGCCGTTTCTGCAAGTTATATTATTTGCGTTTCTGAAAAATTGTTTTAAATTTAATAACTACATAAGAAATTAAAGTAAACTTAAATAGAAAACAATAATAATAGTTTAAATAATTTGTGTGTTGTTTTTATTTTTATTTTTTTTTAGTAGTTAATATTATCGCAGGCCTTGTTTTAAATAAAAAAGTGCTTAATGCATTAGCTTAACGCGATTTTGACGTCATAAAATTATCTTCTTTTTTTTTATAGACGTTAAGTGTTTTAACTACTGTAATAAATAAATAACCACAAACTAGTTCAATTTATCAATTAACTCAAATAACTATAAACTTTTAAAATGTAAATTTATAATGAAAAGTTTGAAATGTTTTCAATTGTTATTTTATTATTAATTTTAGTTCAATATTATTTAGTAAAAAAATATATATATATATACTTTTTAATTATTTCTGAAACTTGTTTTTGAATAATTATTGTTTATAAATCGTTATTGAATGAAAAATAATAATGAAGTTTTTAAAAATAAAAAATTAAAAATTTTTTTTTTTTAAAAACTTCTGGAGTAAACAAAAAATATTAATATTGATACAAAAACCCATGTTAATTATTTAAACAACGATTTTGTTTTGAAAAGCAAAGAATAATTTAGGTTTTTAAATATTTTTTAAATTTATCTTGCTTGGCATTTCAACTTGCATTATATAAAACATTGTCTGCTTTGAGCATATTTTTGATACCTAGTTTAGAACGCGTTCGCCAGGAATTTAATTCTTAAATTTTTTATGTTATTGTAAAAATGTTTTACATTTTAAACAAATCACAAAGAAACAGAGCTATAGAAAAAAACCGTTATTAAAGATAAAATTTTTTTTTTTTTTAATTTTAGGAAATTAAAAAAAAAATTAAATTAAATATAAAAGTCTTAATTATGCAAACTCTTTTGTTAATTATTCTTAAAACAAAAAACAAATACTTCTACGCAAAACTTTAATCGTGCAAACTTTAAAAAATACTTAACTAAAATAATTTAAGTATATTTAATAATTTGAATCGTATCTGTTTATTATAAACGTTCGTAAAAATTTGTTTATTAAAAATTAAGTTGCTTAACTTATAAACAAATTCAAAAGTATTTTCATTCTACGTGTAATTACAAAACTCTTTTTTTTTTTTAAGCAATTTAACTTAATAAAATAAAAAAAGAATAAATATGAGGTAATCTTTGTTAAGAATAAACTTAATTTATTTATTGAACTATATATATATTTTTATTTATATATCAACTTAATTAAAATAAAGTAACATTTTAAAATATTTTAACATGACTTGTGCTATTTATAAACCGTAGGGCTGCTGTCCTTACAGCACCATTGTTTTTGGATAATATTTTATTTTGATGAAGATCATATAACTTACATTTGATTTTAATAACATAAGTCTTCTCTTTTTCTGTGATCATCGCATCAGCAAAGCATCAACAAAGTCCCAAGGTTTAAAAGTTTTTAAAGTAAATCTTTTGTCCTTCAAAATACAATCCGTATTCGAACTTTAAACAATTTAGTGAGAATAGAAATAAAAACCTTATATAGTATATAAGGTTTTTATATACTAGTTGGTCTTGTTTTATAAAGAAAAATACATATTCATTAGTAAAAAATAGAGACTGTCATTAAACTAAAATGTGCCTTAGTATTTATTTAACGGAATCTGTAATGTTCAACGTAATATTAGTGCCATCAGCGGATGTTGTAGTCTACTCATGATTTCTTTACCTTATAATATAACTTGATTTATGAAAAAAACTTATTGAATCGCACGCGGAAAAAATTTAACAAATTGTCTTTATTCAAAAATTGCGAGTAACAAGTAATTTTTTTTTTCTGTGTCTGTTCCCTCTCCTCGCATAACTTAAAGGTAAAGGTATCTATATACCTTTAACTAATAAGAAAAGCAAAGAGTAATAATTAATGAAGTAATTTTTAGAAAAATAAAAATAGATTGTTCATTCATTAGCACATTTTTTTTAATATCTCGAAAAAATGTCTTGGTATTTTTGTTATCATGATAACAAAAATATTAAGACGTTTTTTGAGAAATTAAAAAAAATGTTAATCCTTAATTACAAATTTTTTTGCAAATGTTTTTTATTATAAATTCAGTAAAAAACTCTTAAAAAATCTATATTACAAAAAACATTTATATTCTGTATTAATTTATTAATATATTTATTAAATTAAATTTATAAATTTATTAATATATTTATTAAAAACATTGCAAAAAATTTGTAGTTTAGGATTGACAAACAATTTTTCATGTTGCAAAATGCTTGGATAAAAAGTTTAGCGTAAAATTAATTGCTATAAAAAGGTAAGATATATCGCGATGAAAAGTTACAACAATTAT